CCGGGGGGGGGGGCGTGTTCTTTGTTGTGAGGGGGGGGTTGCTCTCATGTTTTGCGTGCCTTTGACCAAAGACTACGCGTCCTCGAGAGGACGCAGCATCATGGCTTCGAGGGGGGGGGGAGTGTTCAACGCCCTTCGTCCTGTGCGCTGCACACCGCGTGTGCGAGTTTTGTTTTTTCTGTGGCTTGTGTAGGTTTTTGCGGTGAGGGGGGGGAAAGGGGGAGGGGTGTTGGCAGGTTGCGAGTGTTTCTCCGTTGGAGGCCTCGTTTGTGTCTCTTCTCTTCGTTCTCTTCGTTGCACACACGACGCTCCTCAGCTGCAGTGCTGGGCTTGGGAGAGAGAGAGAAAGAGAGAGGCCGAGAGAGACAGACAGAGAGACAGAGCGAGGCAGAGACAGACAGGCAGAGGAAGATACAGATACAGACAGACAGACAGACAGAGACAGAGAGAGAGAGAGAGAGAGAGAGAGACAGAGACAGAGACAGAGACAGATAGAGACAGACAGAGACAGAGGCAGAGGCAGAGGCAGAGGCAGACAGATAGAGACAGAGACAGACAAAAGACAGAGGCGGAGGCAGCCAGAGACAGAAGAGCAAGGAGCAGCATTGGTTGAACTTGGCTTCTTTTGCGAGAGAAAGAACGATCTCACTGATTGCTCTACTCTTCGTCACGCAACCCCCACACCATCACGCCATCATTGTTTTGAACAAACACGCGCAACACTTTGGACAGACGTGGCGGCTGTCCGATCTGGCTCGGGAGGTGGAGCTTCCCCCCTCCGTGGTGCAGAAGAGGATGATGCTATGGGTCAACCAGGGGGTGGTTTCCGAGAGCAACCCCGGCCCGGTGTACCGCCTCGTCAAAGACCAGGTGCGTTTTGCGTTGATCCCTTTTGAGGAGAGCGTTGATGGAATTGGTGTGTGTGTGTTTTTTTTGTTTTTTTTGCGTAGAGCATGTGCGGTATCCTGATGCCAAACAACTGTGTGCGTATTTTTTTGAAATACAATCGTGGCTGCGATGTATGGGGATGGTACCTTTTTTAGAAGGGCTGTGATTTATGAGGGTCGAAATCGGTTGCCACCGACTCGATCCGGAATGAGAGGGGCCACGAGGTTCGAGGGCCTTTGCCTCACCACTCTCTCAGACATCGAAGCCGCGACCACTGTAATTTTGTAATTTTGTTGACCTTGGGGAGGACACATGCCCGTAGCGAAGGTTGATGATTTGATTTCAAGCAAGAGTGACGTGTTTGCCAAAAGGCGACCTGCTTGGTGGCTGCTGTTTCTGTAGTGCTTGCCTCTCCCGTGTGTGCTTTTCCTCTCCTCCGCGTGACACCCAGCCCGTGCCCGCGGTCACTGCGGCTCAAGCCCGCGTTCGCGTGCATGGCGACCCTTCATTTTCGCCATCTTCTTCTGTTTTTTTTTTTTCGTTTCTGGTTTGTTCGGAACAAGACTCAAAATCGATCGGGAGGGGAGGGTATGGAGTCGATGGTCCTCGAGGACAACACGGAAGCGGCGGTGTCGGCGGACGCGAACGATGCCGAATCGGACAAGATCATCGTGCAATTCCTCACAGGTGAGACATGATGATGATTGATGACGATTGGCTGACCTTTGGTTGATCGGCTCGGCTCGTGTTCTGATTGGGTCTTCTTCTCCCTGCAGGGCTCTTCGACGAAATAAATGGAACGACGACAGGAGAGAATCGACAGTGCGAGAGAGGCCCACTCCCCCAGCCACGTCACGCCTACTAAGAGAACACTGTGAAGACTTCGACACATACATCCCCCTTGGACTTGCGGTTATTTCTCGAACGGGTAGTCTTTCTTTTGATTCTATGTATTGTTGTATTCAGAATAAAAACGTCTAGCTAGTTATAGTGTACTAAGTACGCTGAGAAGTGTAAGTGCACATTCGCGGCAAACGTGTAGTGTGCACCGAAGAGGAGTAGTCTAAGTAGGCGGCGCCAGAGATGCGACGAAAAAAGAAAAAAGAGAAAAGAAAGTGCCTTCAGCTTTCCGTAATAGTCAGACACTTTACGCGGTCGATTCCCGTGGTCACAGGCTAACTTGCCCAAAAAATCAAGCATAAACTACTAACTTTCTTTACAGAGAGGACCAAGAGCATAACAACAGAGGCGGCATGTCCGAGAACGGGCCTTGTCGATCTGTCTCGAAAAGGGATGATACGTGATGGAGGGGCTAGTAGGCACTTAGAGACTGACTACCATCGCCCGTTCTTGCTCCCCAACAAATGCCTTGACAACAACAAATGGTGGTTGGAACTCCAACTATCCAGGGATGCTGACGAACTTCTCCAAGCTACCGCTGGACCGGATTCACAACAACCTCAAGATGTTCATGTCGGGGGGGGACAACAAGTACGACAAGTCGCTGCCCGAGCTGCAGCAGCTGCTGTGGCGCCTGTGCTCGGACGGGAAGCTGGAGCAGGCAGATGGAGAGTACCGCCTAGTCAAGTAATCTAGCGACGTCTAGATTGTTGTAAATCTAGTAGTCTGGATTGTTTTGTCGAGTCTAGACGATGTAGTCCAGCAGTCTAGACGATGCGGTGAAGTCGTCTAGATGATGTTGTCAAGTAGTCTAGACGATTTAGTCCAGTAGTCTAGGCATGTGGTGAGTCTTCTGGATGATATACTTCAAGTAGATCTAGACAAGGGGTGTTCATGCGATATGCATGCATGCATGCACGGAAGCGACTACTCGTTTTGGTGAAGAGGAGCGTACTCTTAATGTTTGGCTTGCCTCATCGGATAGACCATTGAGCACGCGTGAGCCTTGTTTCCACACGAACGCCAGGAAATTGGTTCTCCCTACTTTGCCAAAGGTGGCTCTCTAAATGGTTTTACCTAGCCTATCTATCTTATCAACACCTGGTATCACTTTCCGCCTTTTTGGTTGGGGGGTGGTGGAACAATAGAGAGCGTGGTTCGGATTTGCCGACGAAAAGGTGCCCGCAGTTTTCTGATTGGCCAATCTTTTTTTAGGAGATTGTTTTCAGATTGACCAAAAATCCCTGGTCGACATGACGTGTCATCTACGGCGGGTTCACTGTACAATAAAGTAGATGTTTATGCATGCAGGAATGCGATGGTGTCGGTGTCGGCAAAAATAAATCACGTGATTCGGAGCTACCGACAGAATGTGGCTACACACAATTTTTTACTTCTGTGGAACGGTGAAATTGAGAGAGCCCATCTATCATCATCGGCTTCCCGGAGAGTGTACGGAGAAGAGTGGCAGTGTTGAGATCAAGAGCATGTCGTTCGTGACGTCTGTACACGCGATCCTGTGTGCAGGCGTTATGGTATGGGGGGAAAGGGGGGCTGTCTGAAACCTCCCGACGCTTGTTTGTTGCACTACTTGTTTTTTGTTTGTAACAAACCAGGGTTATTAGACGAGGAATTTTAAGGCCAAACAAATTTCGTTTGGAAAAATTGGCCCATCAGAAAACTGCGGGCACCTTTTGATTCTCTCTCTGGCAAACAAGTTGTGTGGACGGCGGGGGTCAGGTGATAAGCGTTCTTCGAAGAACGGGGGATGGTCGAGAAAAAAACGGCGAAAAAGCCGCCTTTGCCGCCGCAGCTCAACTATCGGGCGTGCTTCCTCCGAGTGGAAAGCCGACAGGTTCACAGATGATGGTTTGAGGTTTGATCGACAAGACTCACTCGGCCGAAAACAAACAAGGTTTTATCCCGATCCCTCGAAACGTTGACTGACAAGGAAAAAAAGCGCGCCCATTGCACCTCGCCCGCAGCTCGTTCACGGACGGTAACGAGCTTACACCCACTCAGTCGAAGACGGGGGTAGCTAGTGAAAACGCCCGCAAGCAAGAAAAAGAGACACTGCGGGAGCGAGCATTAGTCTTTTGGAAGTCTTTGGTAGGGAAACACTTGATTTACTTGTACCCCGAAAAACCGATGGCTACAGCGCGCACGCGTTAGTTTGTGTACTTTGCCGGTCTATCTACGGAGATGGATATGGGTGAGGATGCGGTAAACAACGGGGTGCCAAACGAAAGCGTCCCGCCCGCTCGCACACCCACCGTACAACTACGACAGTTCTGCTGTCTGTCGATGCTGGACACACACATAAAATACGGGAGAAACGACGGACGAGTCGAAACACACACACACACATACACTAACGGGTTGGTTCACAGGGAACACCTGCATGACGAGCTTTCAGCTGCAGACATCAAACGGCGGACTGTGATTTAAGTCTTACAAAAGTCGGTGCGCCTTACCTTCTGTATTACGCAGGTACACCGAAAACCGGAGAAAAAAAGTCTTGCGAACACATCTCTGCAATGACGTCGTCAACGACCCTAGGCATCGTAGTATCGTTTACCTCTAAAGCCAAATGATAACAAATCGACAGAATACGTCAAGGCAGACGGTAGTGGTTGGCTGCGGCAAAAACACAACGACGTTGACACCCATCCAACACACAAATGCGCACGTCCGTTCACCCACACTTACTTTCCCATACAACAACAGGACCGCGCGTCAAAAACTGAGCCAAGCAACTCACTGCTGGACGTCAAAAGCATTCTCCTGCCGGGGGGGGTGTACTCACGACTAAAAGTACCCCCCCCCCCCCCCTCCCCCTGCTCTGCCACTCTGCTGCATCAGCACTACACATCTCCACGACTTAACGGTACACAAGAATCGCTCCCCGCGTTGCCATAACTTCCACACAATCCTTCCTTCAACCGCCAACAACGAAAACAAAACGCCCTCTAGTCTAGGTGACACGAAACCACCGGCGAGACGCAGCTCTCGACTAGGAAGCAGATGGCCAAAAGACAGCCAGCCCAACGCTTCATCCATCCGTCTTCCCCTCAAAACTTTCGCAGAACCCAGGAATCGCCCGGGGCCTCAAATCAACCCCCCCGCTCCTTCTCGGCGGCCCCCCTGTAGGCGTCAGAGAGGCCGACTGATCTTCGCGTGTCGCAACACGCACGCACGCACGCACAGCCCTCCGCTACACGAGGAAAAAAAACGAACCCACAACCCAGCCGACAATCAGCATGACCGGACCCGTCGCCCCATTCCTCTTGAGGACGGCACATCCAGCCGACGTACACTAAAAACTGTTGTACGGAGTCCGACAACAGCAGTCGATGGGAGGGAAGGGGTAGTGCACCACTCGTCCGTTGGGTGCGACGGGTTGGGGCCTGGAATGCCCTCCCCCGCGCACGGGCAAAAACTCCTCTCACCACTTACAGGTACGGCTTCTACGAAGGCTACTAAAAGCTTATTTCTCTCTTATCTCTCACGGGAACTGACACACAAGAACTATGACGTAAACAAACTGCCGCTACCTCCAACTGACACCTGGGTCTTTAGAGGGCGGATGAACTATTAATAGGGGGCTGGCATAAAGGTTATCTTGCGGCGACTCTGATCTGGTGCATGACCTCCAGCACCCTCGGCGCCAGGGCGGTCATGCTCTGCGACACGAGCGAGAGGAAGTGCGCGTCGGCCTGCTCGTCCGTGAGGTCCAGCTTGAACCGGTCTTGCACCTGATTACACAGCCGTAGCAGCAGCAGCAGCAGCAGCAGCAGCAGCAGCAGCAGCAGAGAGCAACGGCAAGGAAGACGACGAGGATAGGAAAACATTCAGAATGAGGATAGTGTGCGTGGTGTAGTCTACCGCTGGAGCCAACCCAAACACCAGCGACAAGGACATCACCACAACGTTGTATCAACTCCTGGGTGCCAGCCGGGGTTTGAACACACTCGAAACATGGAAAAAGAGCGCAAGTCGGTGGACACGAAGATTCGCCCAAGGGCCAAAGATTGGTCGGTCCACATGACTCGATTCAGCTCGCGACAGCTCGGGTTTCACGACACATACTGACTGTGACTGTACCAGCATGGAAAAGCTGTTGCCCGACAAAAAACGACGTGCTTCCTTTCTCCATTGCTCTCTAACCTGTCGCTGTCTTTGCCTCTCCCCGTTGTCCCTGCCTACATATGCCCCCTCTTGTCTATACGTCAGTCTCCAACTCCGCCATAACTTCTCTTCCATTGCCTCAAAGGCCCAGAGTATCCAGCCGGTTCACTGCACAGACTTCAACACATGCATACGCTTCGACTGGTTGGACTCGTATCTCTAACGTGCAATCTCCGTGTTATTATGTACACCTTCTAACCACTGGAGGGGGATATGTTGAAACCATTTCAGTGAGCGACGGGAACCCGGCTGGAAACTGGTCTTATGTTGAGTCTGTTGAACCCTACACAAGAAATAATACCTGTGATACCACCTGGTGCTAGCAAAAAAAAAAACCTGTGTACATAGATTGCTATTAAGTCTGCCTCCGACCGACCCTCCCTTCATTGACAGGTGTGCCCTGTCTCTCACCAGCTGCAGCACCGCCGCAGGGTCGTCCGAAAGGTCTTTGATGCCCGCCCCCGACATGAGAGACAGCAGGTTCAGGTACTGGTGCGCAGACTTGCGGAGATGTCGGTATGCCTTCACACACACCACGCACGCCAACAACAGCACAGTCGGCAGGATGGGGGGTCCAACGTGATTTAATTGTCTTCGGCGCGATGTACAAGAAAAAAAAAAAAGACACGGTTACGGCATGGACCGGACAGTAACACAAGCACGTCCCAGAACAGCAACAAAAGCTAAGCTCGGGACGAAATGATCGAATAATAAAAAAAACAAGGTCCACAATCCTTGTAGAGCCTTGCCGCCTGCACAGCCCAACCACGCACTCTGCGGCAGGGATGACCTATACTCCACAGCTCTTCTCGTGAGCAAACGCGTTACCAGGTGCACTCAGCAACTCATCTCGAGAGCAAACACTTTTGTCACATGCAACACGGCGCTCGAATGACGGTGGTGGCGACCATAACCTCCATGTGCCTTCAAGGGAAACCACAAGAGAAAATACGCCACGCACCCAAAACACACGTCCAACACTTGTACACACTCTCGATTTTGCAAAAAAAAAAAAGAAGAGTTGCGGCCTTGTTCATACATACCTGACAGCAGAGCGACTTGAACACGGTGTAGTGCGGCGCCTCGGTTCCCCCCATGGCCTCCACCATCTCCTTCGTTAACCGGAAGGGGGGTGGCATGAGCTTCGGGTCCTTGCCGAACAAGTACCTATTTGCGCCGCGTATCCGTGCGACGGAACGAATTAAGAAGTATGCACGGTAAAAAGCAGCACATCGAGAACAACCCTTGAAACAAAACAAAAAAATTACAAATGAATGATGACAATAAATCTCAAGACGTGTGTGAAGGTCCAACCCTGGATTGACCCCTGAACGTTCACCGAGGGCACATAGCTTACACATAGCTCGTACATAGCTTGGCGTCGTGCAACACGTATCCGTCGTGCCACTCGTGTGGGCGTGCTTCTCCCTCTCTCTCTTAACCCAAATAATACTTGGTATGCACGGTACACTGTAACCGAGAACAACCCATACAACACAAAATCTCTCAAGACAGTACGGTCAACTCCTTAATTTTGACTCCCTAGCAGTCACCGTGCCGTACAACAAAACACCCGTCGGTCGCGCCATCGCTCCTGTGTGTGCTTCTTCTCTTCTCTTCTCTTCTCTTCTCTTCTCTTCTCTCCTCACCCGAAGTCGATGTGAAACAACACCCCCTCCGGCAGCAGCATGAGGTTGTCCAGGTGACGGTCTCCCACGCCGAGGAGGTACGTCACCACGCAGCTGCCGGCGCAGCTTCTGGTGAAGTTGTCGAGCGCCTCGCGCTTCATGCCCAGGGGCCCGCCGGGGTCCGCGTTGTGGTGCCGCAAAAAGTCCAGCACGCTGCATGACACCCGGTGAACGCGGTCGACCCAAAGGAACAAAAAAAGTAAGTATTTCCTTCGACAGCGGTTAAGTTGTTCTGGTAGTTGCACCGCAACAAGTCCAGCACGCTACAACGTGCACGCTGCCAGCGACTCGATCGATCGCGGAACAAAAATAACCGTCAGCCTTCGATCAACACCACCGTCCTTCGACATAAGTTGGCGTTTTACCGTATTGCTGCAATCGCGACAGCAATAACTCCGCGGGCGGACACGAAAAAAAAATGCAGAAGCTAGCAATAGCGATTGCTTCGACAGTGGCAACTACTCGTGTCTCTTCGAGCTGTCGGAGAAACGGGAGGATACACTCATGCCTTGCACGGAAGCGGAGGGAGGGTGGGGGTCTCATGTTTTGCTTGACTCAGTTGCTAGACCATTGACCACGCGTCCTCCAAGAGGATGGAGCACTTTTCCAGCGGGAACGATCTCCGATGGTTAATCGTTCCTTCCTACTTTGCCAAAGGTGGCTCAAAAATGTTTTCCCTGTTCCTATCCTATCTATTCTAATGGAGGGGAAGCTATTCTAATG